CTGGTACCAGCAGTTAGTGTGATGGCTACGTTGCTGGACTCCCATGTAGTCGATCAAGTCCCAGACCCGGTGGCTTAAAACTCATGCCAGGCACGTGTGTGTGTGTGCCCAACATCCCGAGAGGAGACTGGAGGAGAAGGGATTGTGGTGTGGCCATCCCCCCTGGGGGGGCAATTTCTCGCTTTCTATCTCTCTGTCTCTCTCTGTCTTTCTGGTGAGTGCACACGCCCTATAGCAAAAAACTCTCAAAAACAAACAACAACAACAAAACACACCCTGACTCCTCCAGATGCTCCCCTTTCTCACTCTAGATAAGCTAACCTGGGTGCCCTGGGGGCAGTGACCTCAAAGCCTCCCTGCCAGATGGTGTTCCCTTTTCCCAGTGCACCATTAACTGAGAGCCAGCTCTGCAGAGACCAGACGGCTGACCCTGATGTCCTTACATGGATAGCAGACGGAGAGTTTCAAGCCCTGCCTGCCAGCAGCAAAAGTGAAATGTATGCACTGCCCTCCCTTTAATCCTCAAAACAGCCCAGAAGGGTGTTTTATTACAGCTACTTTCCCAACGGGAAAAGTGGGGCTCTGAGGGAAATACTAACTTGTCCAGGGTCACATAACTAGTAGGCAGCAGGGCCAGGATCTGAAAGTGGCCTTCCATCTAAATCAGAGCTGACACTAACTACTGCCACAACGTCACGACACTGCCTCCCTGTGGAAGTCAAAAGCAATTCCAAACTACTTACTCTGCACTAGGCGGGGAGCATCTGAATGACACATTCCAGACTAAACTACAAAAAGGTACTTGCCCATATAAGGTCTACTCAGGGCAATCAAGAAAATGTGAATCGTGAACTAAAGACAATGAAATGTACCAGTCCTTGAGGCCAACCAAAGCACAGATAAAATCTTTTTGTCACTCACCTATTCCCTTAGCCTTCCAAGCTCTCTCTAAATGAATCATACATATTCTTTAAGACTCAGAGCTTCTCTACAGGCTTCCAGATGCAGCTCACATCTCCCACCCCCTGCTGTAGATTTCTTGGGACAGGATGATCAAGAACTGCTTCAGCATCAGCAACTCCAGGATCTGCTCCATGGTGTGCATTTCAGGCCAAAGCCACCCATGGCAAAGGCCCAGGAGCTACCTGAGGGTTTCCTGGAAACCAAAGGCCTCTTAGAAGCAGAACCTTCAGAAGCACAGGTGTGAAGGCTCTAGACTGGGTCCTAGGTTAAGTGGGGCTACCTCCTGCAGTTTCACTATTACAGGACCCCTTTCCAGTGGCAGCCCCAGCTGGATGTTGTCAGGCTCCTTAACCACCTTGACCCGGAAAACAGCAGCACCCGCTAGAGAAGGCGCCAAAGGGCCCTATGAGACAGACAACTGGCAGGGCTCCAAATCCCAGCCAATGAGCCCAAGTGGGCCCTGGCAAAGCCATCTCCAGCGCCTTGGCCTCAGTGGACCCAGGAAGCTGCAGCACCTGTCCCCAGTCTCGCTTCGACTAGGGCCTCCCGAAGGTACAATAGCAAGCAGGTTTCTCCTCTGTCTTAGGCTGACTCAGGACTAGGTACCAGCTCCCACACAGGAAGTCCTAGCACTGAAGTTTGGTCAGGAGAAGAGCGCCAGTTTAGAACCAACGTGAGGACTGTATTTCCAGAATGACATCACTATGTCTAGCAGCCATTGGATCAGGTCTCAGCACAACTCGCTGCTGCCCAACTAGAAGGGAAATTTTGCCTGCAGGGGCGGGACGAGCCAGGGACCAATTGGAAGAAGAGAGGCGGGACCAGCAGGCGAGCGCTAAGACCCAAGAGATCTCGGGGTGGGTGTTGGATGCAGAGAGTAATGGGTGGAGTTTCTAGAATGACTCCCTGGTTTTCAGGAGAGATTACAAAGCAGACCCGTGGCCACTGTTACCCGTGGGCAGACGAGCAGAGTCAGAATCCCCAGCAAAGCTTATTAAAATGTGAATCCTCGAGCTTGTGCAAGATCCAGTGCGTCAGGGTGTCGGGTGCAGCCCCCCCAAATTTTAACATTGAACAAATTCTCCCAATAAATCCTCCCCGCACAAACAGCTTTGGGAACCACTGACCGACTGGTAACAGAGTTAGAGGAGGCCTCCACCCACTCTGGTTCCTCTAAGCCTGGTGGGGGAGAAGCCCTCAGATCCGGCCTCCAGGCCCGCCCCACCCAACACGCTGGGACAGAGGAGCGCTTAGACCGGAAACGGGAGCACTTCCAACGCAGCTGGAAGCCAGGGAGCCTCCAGCCGCTCCCACGTCAGCTTCCTTGTGGGCCCGCAGCACGGCGGGGGGC